ATCCAAAATTTATAATATATACAATAATCAATTTAAAGTTCTTTTAATTGACATATTATATTTTTTTTACTGACTTGTTGTATTAATATATTATATAATTAAATATAATTTTTTTAATTATATTATAAAAATACTGTAATTGACTAATTTTTCAAGATGTCATTTTTGGTCATTCTATATGTTTATCAACTAGTTTTCGTCAATTGTATTTGTTCATTAGCTAGCTTATCATCTACTAGCTAACTTATCTTCTATTAGGCCACTTATCAACTAGTTTGTCAAACATAGCCTTAGTATTTCAACTCCACCATCACCACCGTCCACGGAGCTATTTATTACTAATTTACCACAAAATCCTAAATGGCGCGACAACAAGGTCAAGCATGAAGACTTAGGAGCCACGTGAAGGCCATGATATTTTTCAAGGCGTGACTGATGGCAACAAATATCTATATCATATAAATTATTTTTACATATGAACATGTATTTTATACTATTACTCAATGAGTCAATGATATTAAATGATTTAAATTAGGTTATCCATTAGGAACTAACCAAAAAAGACATTAAAAAAGTAAGTAAAAATCAAATATTGTGTTACAAAAACCGCGAAGAGGTCATTGCATGCCACATGCTTAATGTGGAGTGAGACACAAGCCTTAAGGCACGACGCACCATGACAACTGTTGTAGCGAGCTTTTTAAACACTAGTTTATAGTCTCTTACCAAGCAAGAAGCCCTTACCCGTTTAGAGTTGCTACTCTTAAAAGCATTTTTAACAAACTCTTTATAATTTTTTCTGAAATTATAAACTAAAAGTTAATATCTCTAGAAAATACATTCAAATCCAACTGATCTTCTATTTTAAAATTTTCAGTATTAATTATATTATTGAAATATTCTATAATTTTATCAATCTAATATATTTTTTAAAAGGAGTTTATATAAAATAATAATAATAATAATTTCACTCTCATGGTTGGAAATGAATAAAAATATTATTTCTCTCACCTCACATCAAATTTTAAATAATTCTCTAAATTCAGAGTTTTCTACTGTTTTCTCTATTTTAGGGGATATAAAAGATATCATGACACATTATAGCAAAATAAAGAATAAAATCTTCATTTTCTCTATTTTAAAGAATCTGTTAGAGATACTTTAACCAAATCCCTCTTACCAGTCCATGATATTGGCTGGTAAGTTAATGGAGAGACTCTTCCTCGGACAGTGATTAATGCTGACCCAAACTACACTATTATTTGATCGACGCCTTACCCAATTTGTGTCCGTAAATGACCCCTAAGGGTGCGCTTGATATCAATACAAAATAAAATAGGACATGACATGATATAATATTATTGAACAATTATCCAACATTTGGTAAGATAGAACAAGACAGAACAAATAAAATGACCAATTTATCCATGATGAGTTGTTTATATATTTTAATTAATTTATGTAATTTATTAAATTATAATAGAATAAAAAAATTTGTAACAAGAAATATCATGAATTAAATAACACCAAAAATAAAAAGTTTATATAGTTTTAAATTTCTATTTTATACCTTTTTCTATATTATATTATTATTATAAATATTTAATAAATTACATAAATTAACCAAAATGTAGAAACCATATAAAAATAATATTTTGAGGACAAAAAGTTTAAAAAAATAAAATACAAAAAACAAAATTTAAGGAATAAATAAAATATACAACAGGAAGGTGTATTAATGTTTTAGAAGAGAATTAAGTTTTATTTGAAGGTTATATTGGAAAAACATGTCTATTCCGCCTTATTCTATGGGGTGGGAGTGAAACACGTCTGTTCCACTTTGTTCCACTCTATTCCACGTAAAAATCCTAACAAACATGAAACACTATTTTGTACTGTCCAATGTAACAAACGCACCCTAAACTTCAAAATTCACAGCATCACAATGCAGATTCATCTTCTCCAAAAACAACCATAACCACAAGAACTCAAAAGAAATACAACATCACTGTTATAACTTCTCTAAGCAGCAACATAACCGATCGTTTTTGGCTTTCACTCCATAAAGAGGTTCGGGGTTCGTTCAGCCAACAAAAAGGACACAATGTACCACAACAAACAACATGAAAACTCTACGCTAAGTTCATAAACTAAACAAAAACCGACCATCCAAGATGAAAAATCCGTTCATTCAGAAAGAACCCCATATTTTTCCTCAGATCGCACTAAAAACATATACGGGAAGCAACCCAATGCGATCAAGAAAAAGCGTTAAATAGACCATGAACAACAAAAGGCTCGAGCTTTCTTCTTCTATCAGGTGTTTGCAGACTGGGAAGGTAACCTGGTGTGGTTGTGCTCGCCTTCATAGGTAACGATAAGCATTGCTGAATCATCCAAACACCGCTCCACGTGCTTTCTTGCCGGGCAACCTCTCATACTGCTGCATTTATAGTAACCCCTATTTACAATAAACCAAAAAGAACATTATTTAGTTGTAAGCAATTTGTCTGGTACGCACATATGTATAACACACAAGTGCATAAAAACCAAGAAACAACTTCAATTACTTGTATTCACATGTACATACCATTGAGATGAACTGTTACCATGGTGTTCATCAGTTTTTCATTTTTTTTGGGGTTTTCCCTGAACCTCCATCCCTCCCTCTCTCTCTGTGTATATATATATATATATATATGTGTGTGTGTGTGTGTGATATAGTGGTCATTTATCGTAAAAATGGGGCGAAAGGGTCATCACTACCAAGGGATAGATCATCCGGTCCCCCCTATGGTTTGTTTATAGACTCGTGTAAAACCAAACCAAACAGGGAGTGGAATGTATGTAGACCTGTCCTCTACCACAAATAGTAGAAAAGTTGTCTCCATGAACTTGTGTGTGTGTGTGTTGTATTAATTGTGAATACAAACACATCCGAGTATCTATAACAAACCAAAAGAACTAGTATATCCCACCTTGAGATGGGTCCATGAACGATAAGATATACACAGACCTGACCTCTACTCCAAAGAGTAAAACAATTGTTTCCTTGAAGGCCCACGACTTGTGAAAAGTGTGAAAAAGTGAAGCTAAACGGTATCCCAGTGCCATGACTAAAAAAATACCCACGGGTTGGGAACAAATTGAAAAAACGAAGCTAATAGTATATCCCAGAATCTATGTATAATGGGCATTGAAGCTAAACGATGGCCCGTCATCATATTCTACATCTCATTGAACTATTTTTCGTTATCGAATTATAATATTTGGTAAAAAGTGAGTTCATTCAAGGTTTTCAATGAAGCATAAATCACAATTTGTAGTCTTTAAAGGGTACCTGGGATGAGGAGAACCCTTTATCGGCTTTTGGCCATATTTCCTCCAAGAATACTCATCGGGTGGGATGTCTGCAAGCTTGTTACTAACAGCCGGTACCTTGATTGACCTCTTAATCCTGTGCTTCCTGATGAACATAGCAGATGAAAACCATTTTAAGTTTTAATAAAATTGAACCGTTTGGAGCTAAGGAACAAGTTCAAATGAGAACCGTAAATATTTTGAGAATCCGAGAACCAACTATTCATCTATTATTCATGATGTAGATATTCATCACAGAAAACTATTCATTAGTGAATATGCATGATATTCATAATGAATACTATTCATGAATATAGGGTTATTCATAATGAATAATACATGAAATAGTTGGTTCTCAGGTTCTCACAGTATATGGATCATGGCTTAAAAAGTAAAGATGGTAAACCTCTTTTTGGAGCAGTGACACCTTCCAGAACTCCCACATTTCGCACTCTCATCATCTCCCCTAGCAGAACACCTCGGTTTGTGTTGGTATGTAGCTTGATCAGTTGACCGAGAAGTTGACCCGATCAACTGGAAAGAACTCCCATCCAAAGTGGTCACACTCCCTTCAATACTCAACGAAGACATAAAAGACCTATTCGACGAAATGGTAGGGGTAGCAACAGAGCTATCGAAAGTCAAGTTTAACCCACTATTACTCCTTCGATAGATCATCTCAGCCTGCTGTTTAAGCTGCAACTGTGTCTGTTGTTGCTGATGATGATGGTTTTGAAGGAATTGGTAATTAGAAGATGGGTTAGGATTCTTCTGCGAAATCGGATTTGGGTTCTTCACAATCGAGCTCAACGGATGGTTCCCTAAAGAAAGTGTGTTCTTAACAGCATTTGAACCACCACCTTCTTGAATCGGATGAGTCTGATTATGATTAGCAGGGGGGGCTGTCAGCAAAAGTTGAAGGGGTTTTGGTGGTTCTTGAATTATGGTGTTATCTAAGAGTATGTTTTGAGGGATCAGGTTTTGAATTTTCTTGAATTTTCTCACTCTAGGATGACCTAAACCATCATCAAGAAGAGATACAACTTTCTTGAATCTATGAACAGCATCACCTGTTTGTACCATTAGGTTTTTTGATTGTACATGATCTTGGGGTTGAGCTAAAAGATTGAGAATTCGATGGCAACTCTCAATTGCAGCTTTATTAGCTGCTTCCACCTCCTCCATAAATCCCCAAAATTGAAACCCCCAAAAATTCAACCCCCCAAAAAATTAATCAAAATACAACTCGAAATCCCCAGAAATTCTATAATTTCAACATATTAATAAGTCATAAAAGACCCGAAAAAACAGATATCCAGATGAAATTTCATCTCAAAAACAAAAGGGGCGTTTCATCAGAAGGTATATCCAGAAATTCAAATTAGGGTTTAATTCGAAACGAAATCGAAGAACAATAAACAAAACCCAGATCAATATATGGACTAAAAACAACTTGATTGAAGAAAACGAGATAGAAATCAAACAAAGAACAGACCTTTTTTCAAGAGGTTTACAGTTTACAAGAACCCTAATTCGAGATTCTTAACATCTTCATATGGGATTGTGATGTGATTAGAGAAGACTTTTTCCGTTGATTGACGCAGAGAATTCACTCGCCCAAAACGAAGAACACCAAGAACTTAATGCTGTTAATTAATTATAAAAAAGGGTAAGTTTTGTAGAGAGAGAATCAATAGCAGGGGGAGAGAGAGAAACGAGTGAAATGATGCTTGATTTTTATAGTAGAGAAAAATGATTAAAGAAAAGGCCAGAAGAAAAAACTGCCGTCTGTGTCCCAGATTTCAAATGTGGGTCCCACTGGTGTAGAAATTGGCAATAAATTTTCAACTTTTGTTTTTTAGTGAACCATTTTATTATATAATATATATTATATTATAATATATTATATTTTTACAATACACATGTTAAAAATGTATTTTAATTTTAATATTTTATTTTATTTTTTTATTGTCGATATGATAATATGGTTTTAGGTGATTTTTAGAAAATGATAATATTTTTATTTTTAATAAAATATAAATTTAAAGATATCATAAAAAATTAAAAATATATATTTATATTAATATCAAAATAACTATTTCAATTTTTTTATTTTTTATGTAATTTTTTTAATTCAATTTTTTATTTGTAATTTAATTTAAATTTAATAATAAAATAATTTATTTTTAATTTAATAATATAATTTTTTATAAATATAATAATTAAATATTATATTAAAACTCAATGATTATCTTTATTATATTTTAAATTTTTAAAATTAAAATAAAATCTTTATTTTGTATTTGATTACGTTTATTTACAGTTAGTTACATGAATTCAAGTATGAAGTTTTAATAAGTCGTATCTATGCATAATTTACTTGTAATCTTGAATTTTAAATAATATGCATCAATAAACAGTATTTCATGTATAAAAATAATTTTAAAAAAATTTTGTCAAATATTTTATAATATAATATAGATAATAAAATAATTGTTTTAATATTATATTATTATTATTATATATCAAGAATTGGGTTTTTTATTAAATTTTTGTAAATCAATTATATTATATAAAATCAAACAGTTTCTTTTATTATCATATTTTTTTTTATCAAACACTCCCCTTAAAATCTTTAAGAAGTTTGAAAATCCATTATTTTTTTTTCCATTTTTGTAGAAAAAGGAGGAAAATGGTTGTTGGGGTTGGCTGCTCATGCAAATAGCTTCCAACAGATGTTTTATTTTAAATATTTCAACATTTATTATATTATTAAAATATTCTATAAGTTTTGTCATTTTCAGTATTTTTAAAAAAAAATATAGAAAACGATAATAACTCGGTCTAATTGGTGGTAATAAATAAAAATAATAATTTCTCTTTACTTCCATCAAGTTTTAGAAAATTCTCTAAACTTGGAGTTTTTTTTTCTTTCTGTTTCATCTCATTCTTGATTTTAAATAACAATATAAAAATCAGCTGGGACAGTATAGATAATAAAATCTTCATTTTCTTCACTTCAATAAGTATATTGGAGATATTCTCATGATTATATAAGTATATAACTGATAAATACTATAAAAATAAGGAAATATTAGTTTATCAGCTACTTTGGCACCTAAATTTTTTATTAGATATTTTAAAAAATCAAAAAATTTAGGAAAAAAGAAAAATGAGGATTCTAATGCCATGAGATGTCATGTAAGCACTATTGAGTTTTCTTTTAATATATGTATGGATTTTTATCTGTGTAGTAGTTTCCTCTTGTTATTAATTGTTCTATATGTATATTTTTAAGTTATTGTTTGAGAGGACTTCTTTTGATAACTCTCTAAATCATACAATTTTTTAGAACCAATACATCATGTGTTATTTTATATGATTTTTTCCCCATCTATGACTATAATTTAATATTATGATTAGCATATATTCGGTTCATGATATGAAACTTTTTGTGTGTCTGTGAAACAAACAATACATGTATAAAAGTTTCATATTATGAACCGAATACATATAAAACAAACACGTTATAAAACAAATATATATATCAGTCAACACATTAAAAAATACACCTAAATGAAAAGAAAAATCATGTAAAACAAAACATTAAAATAGAAGTTCTTATAAATTTCATAAATTTTAGAGTTTTTAAATCATCAAATTCCTTATTTATTGCTAAGTGATTGACATGGTTTTTTATTATAGCAAAATGCATGAAAAAATAACGCAATTTAACTTGATCTTTATTTTGGGTAACGTACTTTCAAAACTTCATTTTGGTACCTAAGTTGTAAAGTTTTAAACATTTAAGTATCAGGAAACCGGTCGAAGTATTAACCGGTTACCATGTTGATGTGGCGAGTGATGTGGTATCCAACTCAGTGTTATTTGCTGAAGCATTAACCAAATACCACATCAACATGGTAACCGGTTAATACTTCGACTGGTTTTCTGGATACATAAATGTTTAAAACTTTACATCTTATGTACCCAAACGAAAGTTCTGAAAGTACGTTTCCCAAATTATAAATCAAGTTAAAATACGTTATTTTTTCATACAAATTGCTCTTTTATTAATATGCTATTTGAAAACATCATTTGATTGTTTTTAAAGTTAACAATTATTTTAATAAGGACAAATTAAAATGGTTTTATAAGTTCAAGATTCCATATCAATATCATCAATTAAATATTTTGATTAATAATAAACAAATATGTAAATGGTTTCGAACACAATTAATTTTTAAGACCAATATATATATTTTTAATAATTATCTCATTCAAAGGAAACTTCATCAAAAAACCATTGATTGTTTTTTAAGTATATAATATTTATATATGATAAATGTAAAAAATAAACTCATACATCATTCTTATTCTTTATCCCAGTCGATGTTATAATATGATCTTTATGTGATTTTGAAAAAAAATGATGAAGTTTTATTTTTGAATAAAATATAAACTTGAAAATATCATAAAAATTTGACAAAAATATCGATATTAATATCAAATTAACTATTTAAAATTCCTATATTAGTATTTTTTTA